TGGTACTCATTGATTGAAATAATCCTTGGCTGTCTCCAGAGTCAATCATTCATTAGGAACTGGGGAGTTTATGGAATCCCTGGATGGTGCAAATGGCTAAAGTGCTCGACTGCTACTGAAAGGTTGAAGGTTCGAATCCACGCAGAGATGCCTCAAAAGAAAGTCCTGGTAATCTACTTCTAAAAAATCAGCCATTGAAAACCTTGAGGAACACAGTTCTACTAATACACATAGGGTTACCATGAGTTGGAATCAACTCCACCTCAACTGGGTTTTTTTTTGTTTGGGTAGTTTGTATATAGACAGAGGTTTGTTCTGAGTAACCCATTTTCAGAGCTTTAACTATTTGGACCATAAAACTTCATTCTGCAATGATTAACATGCTCATTTCTCTCCCATACTAAGAAAATGATACGAACTCCACTTTAGCTATATATTTTTTCTTTCCTTTTTCCTTCTTATTTTAGCTAAGTTTCTTAAAAGAATAAGTGGCTCCTACTGACTGGTGAGAAATGATGGTTAAATACTTAGGAATTTGGTAAGCTGGTTGATAAACCATTGGAAGCTTGAAAATGGCCATGCTGGAAGTATTTACATCACAGAAATGGGCAAAAATTACAAATCAGGGCTTTGTCCTTCTATATCCCAGAGATCTGGTTTACCAGCACACCATGGGAATACCGTAAATTCATTCTACCTACTTCTAGTGTCTCATTCATTGCTCAAATCACTGGAATTTGTCTTCCAACCCAGTAATTTCCTTAAAAAAGCTCACAACCAAAATGCCAAATTTTGCATAAATGCATTTCACCTCCTTCTTAAGAATCAGAAACACCCTTTTCTTCCCCCACTGCCATCTAGTCGCTTCCAACTCACGGTGACCTCATAGGACAGACCAAACGCCCCATCGGGTTTCCAAGGCTGTAAATCTTTACAGAAGCAGACTGCCACATCTTTCTCCCGCAGAGCAGCCAGTGGGTTGTTAGCTGCTAACCTTTCAGTTAGCAGCCTAGCGCTTTACCCACTGTGCCACTAGAGCTCCTTCAGAAACACTCCAATCCCTGAATAAGATTCTTTTGCAAATGCTTTCCTTGGGGCACTCTCAGTAAGTAGCTCAATTCATTGATTTTCCTATTGCTTCCTTAGGACTTGTCACCAAATTTGGGGGTGCTCCTTTTTTGAGACCTGTGGTCCACAATGCACTAACCACAACAACAGCTCTGGAGGGTGGTGTGTGTGCCTGAGGGAAGGGGCAGGAATTGCAGCGAGCAGCAGTGTTTGCAGCCACCATTCTCACTGGGTCATCCAGAGGGGGCTGAGGGAATGCAGAGCCACCACAGGTGTTACGATTGGCTTCACTCCATGCACTCAATGTTCCCGATCACACCTACTCGCTTACAGACACGATTTATTTTGTAGATTATCTCTAGCTCTGGCAAAACTTAATCTTCCTGGCTTTCCTGCGCCCTCGAGGGTGCGATTGGATATCTTTCCCCATCCATCAGGTAAATGAATCCCCAAAAAGGCCAACAAATCTTAAATATAATTGGGAAGATAAATCTACTGCAAATAATAATATCTTCCAATACAAAAACAAATGCAAAGGATTTTTGGATTCTCTTTGCTGCTGTACATTATGGATAGCATAGATGATGAGCTGACTCTCACGGTGCTGACTTGTGCATTATGTCTGTAATTCTTCGCCCCGTTCCCTAAAATGATTTCATATACTGGCAATTACATTTCGGCTGCTTTCAACATGGCACCTTAGCTGTCTTTTCTGAGTGTTATCTTTTAATTCTTCCTACCAAATGAGTTTTAGATTTCAAATGTTATATGTTTATGTCATCTTAGTAAAGCATTTCCCCACCTCACGACACGTACACGTTCTAACTTACTTTGTAAGAAATTAGAGCAATGTCCTTATTTAGAACATTTCCATTTCTTTCTGACATTTAGTAAGCTTTAGAGAAAACTGATGAGGATGGCTTGCTGTCTTCAAGTTACATCAGTTTTTAGTGAAATTGAATGAGAATACATTAAACTTATTTTTAGAATGTTCCTTCTTATAAATGTATCATGTACGTCATAGAGACTTAGCAGCCCCACTAATGTGGGAAGTGAAGTTGTCAGATATCACTCCCTTCGCAGGGTCAAGACTAATTGAAACTTAGACAGGGAAACAGGGGACCACTAAAGAAAACTCCAAGTGATTCAAAGAGTTGTATTTATAAACCTCTGAGTCAATAATGATTCAGCACTGAAGCACAGTGCTAAGGACACTGTTTGGTTAAGGTGACAGTGGTGTGAAATTACATCTGGGACCACTTGCAGCTCTTATTTGGCATTTGGATAGGCAAAACATTTGGCACAAAACCTGTTCACTGTAGGTTCATTTGTATAACTCTTCATGAACTTGAGAAATAAGCTTGCCTTCCCAAATTCTTCCTCCCTATTGGTTTTTTTAAATAATAAAAACAGAAAAAAGGCATCCCATTTAAATTCACTCGAAATTAAAATTTGATGTCTAATTAGATTTTTAAAAAACTGAAATAGTATTTCTTGTTTTTTTTTTTTTTAAATAATATTTTATTTTGTTTTTGGTAAAGGTTTACACAGCAGTTTAGGTTCCCATTCAACAATTTCTATGCAAGTTGTTTAGTGACATTGATTACATTCTTCATAATGTGCGAACATGTTTAAAATTTCCATTCTAGTTGTTCTGTTTCCATTAATCTAGTTTCCCTGCTCCCTTACATTCTCATCTTTGTTTTAAAGTAATTGTTGACTGTTTGATCTCATATACCCCACTGCCATGGAGTCGATTCCTACTCATAGCGACCCCATAGGGTTTCCAAGGCTGTAAATCTCTAGGGAAGCAAACTGCCGCGTCTTTCTCTCAAGGAGCCACTGGTGGTTTTGAGCTGCCGACCTTTTGGTTAGCAGTTGATCACTTTAACCACTGTACCATCAGGGCTCCTTGGTCTCATATAGGTGATTTTTTAAAGGAATACAGTACTTATGGTGATATTCATTATTTTTTGAACCAATTTAGCTTCCAGGGTGACTTCAGGGGTTAGTTTCGGTTTAAAGTTTGAAGAATATCTTAAAGCAATAGTCTTGGGGAGTCCTCCAGTCTCAACCAGTCCTGTAGGTCTTTTTTCTTTTTTTAAGGAATTTGAGGTCCTGTTCCACATTTTTCTCCCCTTCTATCAGGGTCCATCTATTGTAGCACTGATTAGAACGATCAGTTGTTTTTATTGCTGTGTGCTGTTGAGCCGATTCTGACTCATAGCAACCCTATAAGAGAGAGTAGAACTGCCTCCTAGGGTTTCCAAGCCTGTAAATCTTTACAGGAGCAGACTGCCACATCTTTTCCCCCTGGAGTGGCTGGTAGGGTCGAACCACCCATCTTTTGGTTAGCAGCTGAGCACTCAACTACTGCACCACCAGGGCCCTTTAGAATGGTCAGTAGTGGTAGCATTTTTGAGGTTTATACCAGATGCATTACAACTATGTGCTGTTAGTCTTCTCATACCCATTTTATAAACGATGAAACTTGCTGGAGGTAACACAGCTAGAAAACCATTTTCAGTCAAGATTCAAACTCAGTTATTTGCTGTCAGACAGACCCAAGTCCCCTACCCCATGCTGCCTCTTGTGATAGAAATGAAATGCCAGTCTTAACCAACCAGTGGCTGCGGAGTCAACTTCAGCTCATGGCAACCTCATGTGTGTCAGAGTAGAACTGTGCACCGTAGGATTTTCAATTGCTGACTTTTAGGAAGTAGATCACCAGGTCTTTCTTCGAAGACACCTCTGGGTGGACTCAAACCATCAGCCTTTCAGTTAGCAGCTGAGCATGTTAACTGTTTGCACCATAACTAGCCCAGGCTAAATGAGCTAAAATGCTAAACTTAACTGGGGTTTAAAGTAAACTCCCCCAAATTATATAGATAAATTATGGAGAAAATTAGCAGTGGTTTTGAAATTTAGGGGGATAGAAAACATGATGTAAATGAATATGATTCTTGTCTATCTTTGGTTTGATATTGGTAAAATTATAACTTCTAATTTTCATTCTTTTTTCCTTTGAAGTTTGAAGACAGATTCAGGGCAATTTTGTCATATTTGTGACGACTACTTTATGTGCACCTGATAATTTTTCTTTTAGGATGACATTGGATTATGAGGGTTTCCTCGATAAAATATGTGGGGGACCAAGTATTCAGGGTTGTTATATAAGTTGGCAATGTGGGGACAAACTCTACCAGAGATTTTAAAAGGATTCGAAGTCATCAGGCTCAGCAACACTTTGCAAGGCAGCATGTTCTTCCAGCCTCCCAGGCCAGGACTCTGAAGGACACAGTCCCCATCCCTCCAGAGTAAATCTGGCTCCTTGAAGAACTATACCGTTTGTATAGTGCAATATTCATTTACAAAGAGAGACAAGTGACTACAGAAACATTGCATTATATCCTGTTACCATGCACAGTCCTTAGAGGTACAGAGAGGAACCAAAGAGAACAAGGGTTTCCACACTTCTGAATTTCACAGAGTAATATCTCATATATCTATACCTACATTAATTTATTTGGGGGCCATAAGGTTCGCAGGAGTCCCTGAATGGTATAAATGGTTAATGCACTTGGCTGCTAACTGAAATGTTGAAGGTTTGAGTCCACCTAGAGATGCCTCAGAAGAAAGGCCTGGTGATCTACTTCTGAAAAACCAGCCATTGAAATCCCTGTGGAGCACAGTTCTACTGTGACACACACCGGGTCGGAATTGGCTCAATGATAGCTCAACGACAGTAGGTTGTCAACTTTTTATTTTTCAAGTAAAAGCATTTAAAAAAAAAAAAAACCGCTTACCACCTACTACCATTTTATGAAAGAAAGCTGAAAAGAAGAAGGATATAATATCAGAATAACAGCAACCTTTTAAATTAAATACGTTTAGCTTCATTAAACACTCACTCTGTTGTACTTATTTCCTAGTTTTGCCTGATGGAAATTATGCCACGGATCAGCTCTCCCTATGGACTATTGCCTGACAATCCCTGAATGTAAAACACTTTGAAGTTAAACATCAGTCCCAAAACTTTGGTCCGCTCACCAGACCTGAGGGACATCTTGGAAAAAAGTGACCTAAAAAAGAAGCCCAGAACAGGTAGTCTTGCACAAGAAATGTTTGCTGTTGAAACAGAAGAGACATGAATGTTTGCCAAATCCCAAGATTGAATCTAGGCAGTGAGTTACTCTAGGTCTCTGCTAGTTTCCTGGGTCTACTGTAGCAAAGTACCACAAACTGGGTACTTAAAGCAAACTTAAAGTAACAGGAATTTATTACCTCACAGTAAGGCAGGCTAGAAGTCTGAAATTAAGGTGTCTGCAGGGCCAGGCTCTCGGGGAAGACCCTTCCTTGCCTCTTGATAGCTTCTGGTGGTTCCTGGCAATCCTTGGCGTTCCTTCACTTGTGGCAGTATAACTCCAATCACTGCCTCAGTCATTACATAGCAGTCTTCTGTCTGTGTCCGTGTCTGTCTGTGTCTCTTCTCTTTTGCTAAGGACACCAGACATACCGGATTAGGGCCCACCATAATGAACTAACGTTAACGATCATGTTTTCAAAGATCTTATTTCCAAACAAGTTTACATTCACAGGTACTAGGGGTTAGGATGTAAACATATCTTTCAGGGGAAGACAAATAATCCATAATAGTTTCCCTTCAGGACGCCCATGTCTCTTTATTGCATTGGTGTAAGCATTAGGTATGGGCATTACCATACAAGGGTCAGAATCTTTCTCCTCAGGAACCTGACAGTCTCTACTGAAAGCCCATGTTAGAAGGATCAGCCTGAGGCCATGCTAAATTGACAGTGACTGAACATTCCCTTAGGGAGGGCCCCAAAGGCTGTCCATGCTTCCCTCTGCCTTGGTGGGTCCCGTGATTCTCTGGCTGGGCGTATTTGGCCCAAGGGAGGCAGTGCAGTGTGGTGAGATCACCAGCTTTCAAGACAAGCTGATGTGGGTTGGGATCTTTATAACTAAATTTTAAACCTAAAGGCACCACTCTCCTAAGATTAATTGCACTTGAGAGGTCTATGTCAAAACATAAACATGGTCAACCATAACTGACCACATGCGTAGGTAAAACTATGAAAGCAGTTATTAAAACATCCCACTATAATACCAAGTTTGTTTTTTTTTTTTTTTTAAAGATTTCTAATGGTTTCTGCTTCATATAGTTTTTTTAAATATTTGTTGCATACATATTTATGACTTTTACATCCTTTTCGTAAATGATGACTTTATGTTTTGTAACCTTCTTCTTTGTCCTGATTAATGCTTTTAATATTAAATACTGCTTTAACCAATAATAATAGTGTTACTGTTCCCCCCTTCCTTTTTTTTCCCCTGGTATCTTGTTTGCCTATTCCTTCTTTTCAATATTAACAAAATCACTTTGTTTAAAATGTGTTTTGAAAACCGCATATATCTATTCTTTAAAAAATTTTTTTATTGTACTTTAGATGAAGGTTTACAGAACAAATAGATTCTCATGAAACAGTAGTACACATTGTTTTATGACATTGGTTAACAACCCCACGACATGTCAACCATCTCCCTTCTCGACCTTTTTTTTTTTGGTGAAAATACACACAGCCAAAGATATACCATTTCAAAAATTTCTGCATGCACAGTTCAGTGACATCAACTATGCTCTTCCAATTGTGCTGTTATTCTCACTTTAGATGAAGGTTTACAGAACAAAATCGTTTCTCATTAAATAGTTAGTACACATGTTGCTCTATGACAATGGTTAACGACCTCACAACACATCAACACTATCCTTACTCAACCTTCCCTATCACCAGTTTTCCTGTCCCCGTCTGCCTTCTAGTCCTTGTCCCTGGACTGCTGTGCCTCATTAGTCCCATTTGGTTTTATGGGGCTGTCCACTCCCTGGCTGAATGGTGGCCCTCAGAAGTGACTCTACCACTGAGCTAAAAGGGTGTCTGGGGGCCATACTCTTGGGGTTTCTCCAGTCTCCTTTAGGCCAGTAAATCTGGTCTTTTTTTGTGAGTTAGAATTTTGTTCTACATCCTCTCCAGCTCTGTTCAGAACCCTCTGTTGTGATTCTGGTCAGAGTATTCAGTGGTGGTAGCCGGGCACCATCTAGCTGTACTGGACTCAGTCTGGTGGAGGCCTTGGTAGCTGTGGTCTACTAGTCCTTCGGACTAATCCTTTCCTTGTATCCTGTTCTCTTCACTCTCCCTTGCTCCCGAAGGGATGAGACCAGTGGAGTATCTTAGATGGTTGCTCACGGGCTTTTAAGACCCCAGACGCTACTCACCAAGAAAGAATGTAGAACATTGTCTTTTTAACTGTGTTATGCCAATTGAGCTAGATGTTCCCTGAGACCATGGTCCCCACAGCCCTCTGCCCAGCAATTCAGTCCCTCGGGGAGTTTGGAAGTGTCTGTGGAGCTTCCATGACCTTTCCTTGTACAAGTTGTGCTGGCTTCCCCAGTATTGTGTACTGTCTCACGCTTCACCCAAGATACCACTTATCTATTGCCTCATATGTCCAATCTGACAAACAATGTCTTTGAAAGATGAACTCAGTCTGTTCACATTTAATTTAATACCTGATATATTTGACTTTATTTCTTTCATCTCACCTCATGGATATAATTTTTTTTCTTTCCTTACTCTGGGTGAATTGATAAAGCTATTATTCTTTCTTTTCCTTTTCATTAAATTTAGAGGTTCTATCACATTTTCCTAGCCCTGGTGGCGCAGTAGTTAAAACACTTAGCTGCTAACCAAAAGGTTGGTGGTTCGAACCTACCAGCCGTGCCCCGGGAGAAAGATGTGGCAGTCTGCGTCTGTAAAGATTTACAGGCTTGGAAACCCTATGGGGCAGTTCTACTCTGTCCTATAGGGTCACTGTGAGTTGGAATTGACTCCATGGCAGTGGGTTTGGTTGTATCACATTTTCGCCTTCTTTTAGTGGTTATGCTCCCATTCTGGTCACTTCTATGGATCCACTTATTTCTCTGCCATTAATATTAAAACAAGATACAACTATGTTTCTGCATCAGCGTGCTTTATTTTCTCAATGCTCTTTTTCACCTTTGTAACACTTTCATTTCCCTAGTCTTATCCCAGATGAAATCTTAACAAAACTTTTACTTCTCTCCTCTACTTGCTCTTTCTTCCCTTCTCCCGGTTTTGTAAGATAGTTTAGTACTTTTAGACATTTTTAGGTTGTCCCCTGTGGGATGTTTCTTCTTTTTGAATAATCATTATTTAGCGCTTATATTACACATTCCTAGTCACTCTACCATTTTCCATTTAGATTTAAGTATACAGTCATTCCTCGGTACCTATGGGGGATTGGTTCCAGGACCCCTGCAGATACCAAAATCCAAGGATGCTCAAGTCCCTTATATAAAACGGCATAGCATCTGCATATAATCTATGTACATCCTCCTGTATACTTTAAATCATCTCTACATCTCTACCGACTATAATATAAATGCTACGTAAATAGTTTTTTCATCACAATTGAAGACTTGATCTGGAAGGTAGCCTTTCTCTTCTATGAATTTCTTGAGCTGTCTGGGAACAGTGATGCTTCCTGGGCATCAGCCGATGCCATTGGCTTGTGATCTGGAAGCTGTTGACGCTGTAGCACTTTACATAGCTAGCCAGCCTAAAAGCCTTACTTGCCTTAAACTACTCCCTCTCGCTGTTCTCAACCCCCTCACACTTAGCCTTTGAGGGATTGCTTTGACCACTTATTGCTTTTTAGGAGGCATTTTTTCACAGAAACAAAGGGTGCACACAACACAAGTAGTGATTGGTTGAATCCAAGGATGTAGAACCAGCAGATACCGAGGGCAACTGTATGTATGTATAAGGGGAAAATCACATACCACACACATACATGTACATGCACATGCACACGCACATATATATATAAAGAAAGACTCATTCACATGGCTGTTTCCTCACCTCCTTGTGCCCATTTCATTGACTTACAGTAGTTCTTCAAGTATTTCCTTTGATGGAATATGTGGGTGACATAGCTCCTGTTGTTGTTGCATGCTGTTGGGTCTATTCTGACTCATAGTTACCCTATATGACAGATTAGAACTGTCCCATAGAGTTTCCTAGCCTGTGATCTTTATGAGAATGGATTGTCAGGTCTTTTATCCCGTGGAGCCACTGGTGAGTTCGAACCACCGACCTTTTGGTTGGCAGTTGAACGGTTAACTATTGAGCCACCAGGACTCCTTACCTTGCATATTTGCAGACACCTTCCTTTCATCTTGACAAGTGAATTGTGGCTCTGTCCGCAGGGGTAGGATTTGGGGTGCAGTTTTCTTTTTCCAGCGTTCTGTGGGTGTAATTCTTCTGTCTTCTTATGTCTGGTGTGTCAGTCTAATTCTAGTGTTCACTGTTTCCTTTGTACTTAACATGGTTTTTATGCCTGAAAGCTTCTAATTTTTTATGCTTGAATTCGGAAATTCTGCCAGGATATGTCCAAGTATATGTGTGTCTGTTTTCAATTCTTCCTGGAACTTGACTGTACATTTGCAGATTTGAGTCTTTCTTCAAGCCAGGGAAAGTTTCTTCTATTATTTCCTTAATTAATGCAGTCCTAAACATCTGTTCTTTATCCCTCCCTTAGAACTCCTATTATTCACATGTTAGGTCTTTGCATCTGTCCTCCAAGCCCTTTTTAAAAACTTCCCTCATGATTTCCATCTCTTTGTGCTTTTGCTGTCTGTGTTGTGATATCTTTTGCTTGATTTTACAGGCCCAAACTTAATCCCCAGCAGAGATTAGTCACTCCATCAATTCACCTGTGGAATTTGTAAATTAAAAAAATCTCTGTGAGACTTCATCAGCCTGAGACCAGAAGAACTAGATGGTGCCTGGCTACCACCAATGAACGTCCTGACAGGGAACACAACAGAGGGTCGCTGATGGAGCAGTAGAACGAAGGGATGCAGAACTCAAATACTAGTAAGAAGACCAGACTTAATGGTCTGACTAAGACTGGAGGTGCCCCGGAAAGCATGGCCCCT